ATACCGGCTTTCCAGTTTCAACCAAACTTCCGCCGGTGATTCCTCATCCATGACGTGATACATCACGTCATCAGCCAGACAAAGCCTAATAGTTGTCACAGCCTTCGCTTCCAATTCTTTCCAATCCACGTCGTTCATTTCTGCCGGTTGTTTTCCGTATAGTCCAATCACCATGCCCTGCTGCACTAACAAGTCTTTCACCCTCCTCTGCCATAATCCGAAATTTCNCCACGTCGTTCATTTCTGCCGGTTGTTTTCCGTATAGTCCAATCACCATGCCCTGCTGCACTAACAAGTCTTTCACCCTCCTCTGCCATAATCCAAAATTTTCAGTCCGTCGAACTTCATGATGTCAAATTTTGCAGAAGAAATCCCAGACATCGTAGCCTTGCTCTGATACCAGTTGTTGTGATCGTGCAACAATTATGGTGAATAATAAGAAATCAAACAATTAAGAAAATAAGAGAAAATAACATAGAGATTTACGTGGTTCGGCAATGTGTCTACATCCACAAAGAGCAAGCGGCCGTTCCTTTTCATTATTTAAAGTAGGGTTCCATCTTAAGTATTTATATAACCCTAGTACAGACGTATTTACAAAATACCCCTGTACTGTATCGCGGAGGCGTTGCCCCCACACCCCCAACTAATCAGCGTCCCCTCCCATATCATAAAATATATCAATCCCGCAAGGCAAAATGCCGTTGTGGGCTCCACTCCGCTACGTTCTGCCCANGAATGCTCAATGGGTGTCCTAACACCTCCCAATGGATGGATTGATGAAAAACGAAAGACGTGTATTTTCATAAAGATAGGACAGTCCGAACGCACATAGGCCGTTTGGACACAGCTGTTGAAGTTATGGCAGTGAGTTTTGACCGTCGAGCTGTAATATCACTATCAGGACGTGCCCTGTGTATGAATTTTGACTTTTTTTTTTTTTTTTTTGAACAATAATTTTGACTTGAATGTACATCTTTTTGAGCAAGGATTGTCCCAAAGCAGCCCTGGTCACCCAAATATATATAGGCTATTCTTTTGAGAAGAGGGAGATTATAGATCCCATCTTTTAGATTTTTCTTTATGTTTCTGAAATCTACCAATGAGTAGTTTTCTTTGTACTATTTAGCTTAGGGTATAGACTTGTGTCTATTAACAAGATTGAATTATTAGTATATTCAATGCTTATAATTTTTTGTGACTTTTATAAAACTAGTTCTTTAAATCTTCAAATATTATTTTCATATCAACCAAATTACTTGTATGTTAAAACTTCAATTACTACGTATGTCAACCTCTTTAACTTCCAACCTACAAAGTTCTTCTGACTTGACCTGGCTTGGTCGTCCTATGCCACCACTAGCATTTTGAAAGGCAAAATTCTCATTGTAGTTTGGTGAGATAAAATTTTCATTAGGTGTTTTTAGTCTTTTGCAGTATTGTTACACTAACTCAAAAATATGATTAATAATAGGTACCAAATAATATGGCTCTGACAAATTGAATAAAAGTGACAACCAAAATAATTACAATAACAATGCCGCACCATTTAATTTTTTCTCATAATTTTTTATTAGTTTAGCATTATTCATATTTTTATATGAGGCGCTTGTTTAAAGTTATAATGGAATTAGTGGGTTTTCAGATTTTTTTTAATTTTCTTGTTTTTTCCAACACCAGTGATAACGGGAGTTGTTCCAGAATTTTCAACCCCTTTGACTACCGACAAGAGAACTTTAATCCTTAACCTTTTCACATGGGAAAGGTCAAATAGTACCATTTTATCCAAACCAGTCCATAGTGAGGAACTAGCTTGTGATTTGATTGTCTAGTTTTTACAACCCAGTCTCTATCTTAAACTTAATCTTAATCTTACCGTATTTCCCCCAGTCCTCTCTCGAGCCCCCAGTATAATGCTTATTAATCTACCACATGAATTGGTTTCATCTAAGTTCCCTCATTTCCTTAGTTGTATTTTAGTTAACTTATACAGCTAAAAATACCGTCAATAATTTATGAACTTTGAAGTTAATGTCATTCATCTCACCAGGTTAGCTTAGATGGTAGAGCTTTAATGGTCAATAACTAGAGACACAATTAATTTGATGCACGTAATTTATGAATAATTATTTATATTTGGTATTACTAGTATATGTACGCGTGTGTTTCACCGTGAACTATTTTTGCTTTTGTTTTAGGTTTTTATGAGCTAAATTAATATAACAATGTTAGATGTAAAAATCGTTGATTAGAATTGTGATATTATTTAGTCCAATCAATAACCTATTAAGTTTTACAAATTAAATCAACCCATCTTTGTTACAGTCCTCCATTGTTGTAAAGAAGAGGAGCCGGCTTGGGAAGAAAAATTCCTCACAAATTAACAAATTTTTTTGGACTTTCACAGAGTATTGTAAGTCAATCTACAATATGACCTACTTTTCCTTCATATATTTAAAGTGTAGAAAAGATCCATCAATTGAAGTGAAAAAAATGAGTTGAACATTTTCCCTCAAGGAATTGAGACGTAGGATGTGACCAATTTTCTATTTTTTTTTGTTTGTTCTCAATTTTTTGTCTATTCCCATTAAATGTTTTCTCGCCTCAAATAAAATTGAGTATCTAATTATTGAAAAAAAAAGACAAACCATCATTATTCGAATAACAACACGTTGAGTAGGATTCATAACCAATAACGAACATAGAATAGATCAAGTGTAACAGGTCTTGCGTTAAGATGACAATTTCATATAAATGACATCGAAAGAACCAACATAAACTGAACATAGAATTATGTGACAAGATCAAAAAAGAGTTTATAGAAGCTGTGGACCCATTTGTCCTAGAGTTTGAAAGACAATGATGGCAAAGGAAAGGGTAAGAACAATAGCTTAGAAGAACGTAAGTAAAACATTGAAAATTGAAGTGAATAAAATAGTTTGATTATAAAGTGTATAATAAATTTTAGTTAGCTCTGACAATCGTGTCAGGTTAAGTAGGTTTATGTTAGGTCTTAGTGGATTAGCGTCAAAAATCACCCAAATTGTATACGACTTGTTTATTATTCGGGTGAAAATCACAAAATCAAACACGACTTATTTATTAAATGAGTCGCACAACACAACCCGAGTCATCTGCTAATTCTACAACAAAACAAAAAAAAACCTAATTTTGCAACATAGAGGGTAATCATGTGATAAACTAGTAACTGGGTGACATATTAATTTATTAAACGAGTAATCGAGTAATAAACAGGTTAAGATATTCCACCAAAAAATAACTCATTTATTACGCGAGCCTATTGAGTTTAGCTGTTTATCACTCGAACCCATTAATATTTGATCCAAAATTAGATATTTTGTGTTTATTCGTGTGTCATGCCTAATTTTATTCATTGTTTTTCTTTATGAATAGAAAATATTAATGATACAACGAAAGGCATCTTTTTAGGCCCTTCTAAAAAATATTCTGGTAAAATAATGTGAACTAATTAATGAAGCCTTTCTTTTCTCTAATATTTGCCAAATACTGTTAGTGATTATTTAACCCGAACCTTTAATGCACAATCATAAAAGAACAACATCATCGCTATACCAACGCCTGCTCTCCGTTGAAAGACTAATACATATGATTTGTTGACCAATTATGGGTGCTACTTATTTCTAGCACATTTTGCTTACCATGATTGTTGCTCGCCCATCTAAAGCTGGTGTTGCAATCTGTTGATTTCTACTTGAAATTCCTAAAAAATAGTGGTGTTGATATCTGATAATAAACTCAAAGTCTGGTATAAAAATTTCTATTGGAGAGGTGGATACTTATGTATAGGGTCTTTTGTAAACCTCTATCTTTGAAGTTAGAGAACTGATTAAAAAAAACATATGGTTTAAGTAACATAGCAAATAGCTTCTAATTTCTCTTCCATGTGCATGTGTGTGTGAGAGAAAGAGAGACCTGCCAAGTTGGATATGGATGGATATGTCATTTTTATTCTTGTATTGGTTTAGATACTTCTTCAAATAATGTTTAAGTATACTAATCTAAACAACATAAATATAGCTCATCACCATGTGAGAATCAGTGCGTAATGGACAAAAATATGCCTTCGAAGAATTTGATGATGCACAAATTGAGTTTATGCAAAATAATCAAGAGTGTGATGGTGTGTATGATGGTATATGTGATGGGGATGCTTAATACAACAATACAGACAGATTAGGTGGATCAATCTGGATGACCAACTTCACTAAGAATGATGACGGTGGCTGAAAAATTTTATTACTTTAGGTGTGGTGTGCTAAGATGTGTGTGATTCCCCCCATGTGTAGGTGGGGCTTAAAACTTATAGGTGAGTACAACTTCATAGCGCCTCAGAAGGAGCCTCATAATTAGGAGCTAGGTGAATTTGTGATACTAGAGTAACAGGCGACGTGGTTGAAGTTGGCAATGCGCACCTTGATGACTGCACTCCATGATTCCTTTCCTAAGATAGAGATCTCCACATACCCTAGTGATAGGCTAGGTCTCCCAAGATGGTGGGTTTGGTCCTTTTTGGCCTATATCTCTGATCTGAGCCTGATCCACTTCTCTAATTTGGGGCTCTTCTAGGCCAAGCCCACATCTGTGATCTAGGCCTAGTCTAGGCCAGACCCATAATTTGTGATCTGGGCCGGGTCGGGCCCGTCATTTTCCACTCATGGCTGGAGTCCAATAGAATATGGGGGAGAAGGCATTAGTAAGAATTCATCATCTTTTAGCAGCATGTATCTTTTTTAGTAGCAGATATGTAAGAGTTCTTTTTTAGTAGTCTCTTTTTTGCAACATATACCTAGGGGTCCTCTTTTAGTGGCATCTAGCTTTAATTAGATCTCCATATACTCATCTGAGAACAAAAGAGAAAACTAAGATGTAGAGTGGGGCTGAAAGAGGAGTGTGTGTCGCGGGAGGCGAGGAATAAAGGGTGCTGGGCGCCGAGGGGCAAAAGGTGGCATGCAAAGTAGGCACGGAGCTGGGCACTATCGTGCAAGTGGGTGTTGGCGAGCAGGGCACGGGGTGTTGATGGAAAGGTGCAGGTAGGCACCGAGGTGGTGGGCTCTGGAGGTGATGATGGCAGAAACGATGTTGCCCGGTGTCCACAACGATGCAAGCATCGTAGCAAAGTAGCTATTGACGATGATGGTTCCAAGGTGAGCACTATTTTGAGTAACATCAGCACTGATGCTAAGTTTGCTAGGATTACCTTTACTTTTTGTATTACCGTTACTATGTTGTGCCATTCGGCTTCCAATTACTCTTCTGGGGACATTGGCATCTACGAAGAGGTGGTAAAGGTAGGTTTGAGATTTTCGATGCCTATACCAGTGTGCTATATCTTTGCATAGTTGTCTCTCATGCCAGGTTGAATAGCTCCGAATGGTTGGAGAGTGTTGTTAGCATTTCTTCATTTTTTTGACGGGTGCATGGCGAGGGTGCCTCTCCAGTTTGTGTAGAATGTTTTGCTGCCTATATGTTACAGGAGAACCCCACTGCCAATCGAGGTTGGTATCACTTTTCTCCGAGGGCAAAAAAACTGATCACTGGACTACGCTCTAATTGTCATAGTTGGAAGGCTCAATTTTTATTCCTAAGAGGAGAGTGGGCTACTAAGGAGAATCGTGCCCCAGTTCCAGTGAGATGGGGTGCACCCATGAGGATGGGTATAAATCTTCCCTTCCTTATTCTTATTCAGTTGATGTGTCCTTTACGTCTTCACAACGCATTTAGATCTTTTTGAAATTTTCAAGAGTTTTCAACAAATCAAGAGAGGAGTCTCCAGGTTATGAAGGTCCACCCCATTAAAAATTATATGATTCTCCTGCCTGGAGAGGGTCAGGTTGAAGGTTTCCCCTTAGAAGGTGCTTCTGCTCCATTTCCCTCTTTACAAGCTCGCAGAACTTCTTCCAGGAGGAGAGGTACCTTACTTTTTATGGTGAATTTAATGATATTACCAATTTTTTAAAGATATTTAAGATATCTCCCTTTGCTTGAGCTCCACAGTGGATAGGTCAAAGGTGGAGACTTTCTACTCCGCTAGGGCAGCGTACACAACTTCTCCATCCATGAGGGTGAGGCTTGATGATGCCCACATAGCTTCCCAGCAGGCTTTTCATCCTCCTGTTCTAGTCATCCATACACTTTCCTTGACTAACCCGCCATCCAGGATGCCTTTAGAGGCAGGGATTCCTTCTTCTAGGGCACCACTAGTTTCTCCCTCATCCAACAATGGTTCGGTGTCTATGCTTCAAGATGTGAATGTTGCAAAGGATCAAGTCTTGAGGTACATGTCGATCTTGGAGGTTAGAGAGGTCAGCTCTCAGGGTACTTAGGGCATTATTTATACCATGATGGAGGGCCTAGCTAGGGTAACCATCACACTTCTTTCCTGTGGAATTTTATCCTTAGTATCTTTTGGTGGCATTGATCTTTTGCTCTTTTTATGTGTTTGTAGGTGTTTGGGGTCGCTATGTTCTTTTTTGCGAGAACTAGCCAATATGAGCAAATATTGAGGGCTCTAATGAGGGAGAGATAGACCCACCATGTTGTAGACGAGGAGTTGAAGGTAGCTAGCCAGAGAGATGCACCTCTTGAGGCCAAGCTTTTGGCGACTTACGAGAGAGCTGCTAAGCTGGAGGTTGAGACTGAGGCTGCTTACATGAGAACAAAGGCAGAGTTATGGGCAGCTTAAGAAAGGGCTGCCAAAGCTGAGGCAGACCTGTGAGAAGCTCATGATAGGGCTATTGAAGCTGAGGTAGAGTTAAGGGTAGTTCATGAGACGACTACTAGAGTAGAGGCTCATACCCATAAGATGGAGAGGAAGAAGGAGGCTACAAAGAAAGCAGTCTATGACTTGTAAAATAATGGTGCATGCAACTTTATTGATGGCTATACGGAGTTTAGAGGGAAAGCCTGAGCAACTTTTCGTAGCATAGATTTCTCGGGATTTGTCCCACACGAGGAGTCGGACGTAGGTGTTGATGATGATGGCGAGGATCTTGATGAGAGTGAGTCAGGCAACAATAAGGAGGATGACAACAATGAAGGTAGCTAGAGTGCTAAGGATGCTTCATAGATTTTGCCTTATGTTATTATGTTCTTTTTTTTTAGGTACTATTTTTGACTTTTGCATGAATGACTTTTGTTTCCAACCTTTTATGAAATAAAAAGCAAGGCAATTTTTGTGATGAATCCACAAAGCTTTATTTTATAATTGCTTCTAATAATTGTCTTGGCATAAGGGCAAAATGGATTCACTTGTCGCATTTTCTCACAAATTCGTGTTCGTCCTTGATCATGTTAGGCCCATAGTAGTTATGTTTGACTACCTTATGGGCTAGAGAGCACCCTCTAGAGTGATTTCCACATATTCCGCCATGAATTTCTCTCATGGCATAGTCGGACGAGGCAGCAGAGGATTGGCAGTGAGTAGCTCTTTTTTTAAAGGGTGTCTTATAGGATGACGCATTTGGATGCCCTTAGTCTTAGCTTCTTGGCTTCCATTGGGTTGTTTGGGAGCATGCCCTGCTCTAGGTATGATGTCAGTATGCTAATCACATCTATTTTGAGCCTATTTGGCTCAAATTGGTGACCCATAAAGGCAGGATCTGGCGGGATGTCTGAGGATGAGGTGAACTTGGCTAGTGCATCTGATGTCACATTGTCTTCTCTTGGCACATGTTGAATCTGGAAGTGGTGGAACTTTTTCAATAAGGTCTGCACAATTTTTAGGTACTCGTACATCCTTTTCTCCCTTACATCGAAATCTCTCTTCACTTGGTTGACTATCAGTTAGGAATCGCTATAGACGGTGAGGTGGTGAGCTTCCATTTTAATTGCCAACTTCAGGCCAGAGGCAAGACACGGGCGCCCTAGGGTGAGGCACTAGGCATTAAGGTGCAACTAGTAGGGGAGTAGGCGTTAGAGGTACTGGCAGGGGTGTAGACATCAGAGGCACTAGAGGTGATGGAAGGGTTGCAGGCATAGTCAGAGGCACCCAGTGCAGGCACAACATCGAGTGGCATAGGCATGGCATCGAGGGGTACCCCTCCTTCCTCTAGTGGTGTGAGCTTAGCTATAAAATCTACTACCGCAAGTGCCTTAAAGGCTTTTCTTGGTTGGTACTGTATGTCAAACTCTCCCAATTCGGCAGCCTATTTGAGGAATCTCTCAAACACATTCGGTTTTTGCAATATCCTTTTCAATGTATGATTTGTGATGACCACCATAGTGTGGTCCTGAAAATAGTGTCGAAGGCACCTTGGCTGTCGTGACTAGAGTGAGTGCTAACTTCTTTGATTCTATGTAGCTTATCTCCGCTCCTTAATAAGCCTTACTCATATAATAGATGGGCTTTTGTGTTCTTTCACTTTCTCTAATAAGCATAGAACTCACGAAAAATGGTGAGACAACAAGGTACATGTACAAGGTTTCTCCAGGTATGGCATAGCAAAGTAAGAGGGGTGTAGCAAGGTAGGCTTTTAGTTTCTGAAAAGCCTCTTTTACGTCTGGTCCCCACTCAAAAGTCTTTTAGAGGATTTTGAAGAAAGACAAACACTTATCAGTGGACTTCGAGACAAATTTGTAGAGAGCGACAACCCTTCCATTGAGACGCTGAACGTCCTTTATAGTGGTAGGGCACCCCATGTCTAGAATGACTTTGATCTTGTTTGGGTTTGCCTCAATACCCCTTCGGGTGACCATGAAGCCCAAGAATTTTCTTGATCCCACGCTAATGGCACACTCCTTGGGATTCAATTTCATCTAGTATGCCCTTAGGATGCCAAAGGTCTCTTGCAAGTGTGTCACATGCTTTACCACTGCTAGGCTCTTTACCAATATGTCGTCCATGTACAACTCCACAGTCTTTCTGATTTGTGCCTCAAATATCTTATTTACCAGACGTTGGTAAATGGCTCCAATGTTTTTAAGTCCAAAGGGCATGACCCTATAACAATAGGTCCCATTGGGAGTGATGAAATATTTCTTCTCCTAGTCTGGCAGGTACATATTAATCTGGTTATACCCAGAGTAGGCATCTAGGAAACTAAGTAGCTCATATCCAGCTATAGAGTTTCTGAGGATGTCTATGCATGACAATGGGTAGCGGTCTCTAGGACATGCTTGGTCAAGCTCAGTAAAATCTATGCAGAGATGCCACTTCCCACTAACTTTAGTCACCATTACCACTTTGGATAGCCAGAATGGGTAGGCTACCTCTTGAATTGTAACACCCCAAAACACACCCTGGACGGCATTACATTCTAAAACCATTCATATCATGAGATCACTAATATAATCCCTTAAGAAACAAAAACTTCATTTGTCATCCACGAATATTTACAAGATTATCCAAAATAATAAGCCCATGTCATGACTATTACATCTCAAAAATTAATTAAAGAAGCGCAGCGGAATAAACAAAAGAAGTTAGACTACACAATGTTCCAAAAGAATGTCCTAGTCTAGTACAAAAGGAAAGGAGGTCGCTCTATGCGTCCATCTCGGGATCCACACTCCCAAGTAGTGGGCTTCTCGACCCTTACGTCCTCCTCCTCAAGCGGATAATCTAAAAAATGTTAGCGATAGGGGGTCAGCACAGAGCTCGGTAGAAAAATTCTCTCAAACCCATACAAGGTTTAGAAAAATATTTAAAATGGTCGGTCTCAATTTTAACATAAAATAGATACATAATTTGAAATAAAGCAGTGACATTTAAAAATGATCTCAAGTTTATTTAAAAATATTACTTAAATGAATAAACAAGCACCACATACAAATAATTACCATTAATTCCCATAACCAATTCTCAACAATTCTTTCAGTAGGTGGCATACTTTGTGGTAACCTCCACCCCCCTTTAGGTTACCTTTGATTCTCAACCATCCTTACCGGGAACTTCTTGGCAAAGGGTGAGCATCCTTACAAGGGAACTTCTNCATAACCAATTCCCAACAATTCTTTCGGTAGGTGGCATACTTTGTGGTAACCTCCACCCCCCTTTAGGTTACCTTTGATTCTCAACCATCCTTACCGGGAACTTCTTGGCAAAGGGTGAGCATCCTTACAAGGGAACTTCTTGGCAAGGGGTGAGCATCCTTACAAGGAACCTCTCACTCATGTGCATCACAAACAACCCAACCAAGCATATAAT